AACCAATATCAAGTCATTGTTTCTTTCCATTTTCAGAGTTTTTGCTAAAGGTGAAAAAGAAAAAAAAACCAAAAACAACCCAAACAAAAAAGCCCAAAATAAACCAAGAAGAGCCTTTTTTCAAAGAATTGGGTTACAACAAAAAAATGAGGAGACTGATGATGGGTAATACAACACAATAAAGGTCATATACCACTCAGAAGAAAAGGGGAATATTCCAGCTTAGCAATTCCCCTGACACTAGGGGAGAACAATAAACTTGTGAAAGACATTGCTATTTTAGTTCTCTTTGCATGAAATCATGGCTCCAGCAGGAATTCCTCTGTATATGGGCAGTTGGTCTCCTCTCTGCTCCCCTCACTTACCACTTCCCCATCTTTATTTATCTTGTGTAGTTTGAGCAGCAGCTCTGTAGGGCCTGAAACCCAATCCTCTTGATATTTCCAAGTACTTCAGAAATTAACATTTTGTACCACCAGGAGTGCCTTTGAGGACACTGTGCTTTGTTGAATAAGAAGTGATGTGGTTTTGGAACCTTGGTTTTATTTTTGTAGTGCAGCCGTATAGAAGGAAGTGATGCAACTCAGCAAGGGAGGTGAATGTGTGCTCCCAGGAAATCCTGGGATTTCTTTAAACTCTTTCACAACTTCTAGGCTATTTGCCTAAAGGGTTGCCTGTAAGGCAGGTTGCCCCTCTGTGGGTTATTGGTGCTCCTGTTCAAAGAAATATATAAAATAAATTCTGTTTGTCTTGCTCTCTTGCAGATAACTAGCATCAGTAGTGTGGTCCTAATTTCTATAGGATATATGTAGTTTGGGCTACCTGATGAAGTGTTACTCCAGAGCCTTGAAATCAAAGTTTAGTCTCTTCAAACCAGTTCTACAGGATATAATTTTTACAAAATAAGTTCTGTTGCATCAAAGAAAGAGTAAATCCTCCTTTGGCTTTCATCCCAGCAATGCTGTGATACTTACAGCTGGAAAGCCGTCCTGCTTTCTCTGCATTTCTGTTTATCTACTGGAATGCTTTCCATGCCATCTGTAACCATCAGATCCTTCTTGTGTTTTTTGGCTGTTCTTTCTTGCCTATAACCACAAGCTCTTCATGGCTAAGATGGGGTTGGGTTTTCTTCAGGGTTTGGGTTTTTTTTCTTTGGTACAGCTCAGAGTGCATGGGTAAGGCCTTGCAAATAAGGATGAATGTTTCTAAAAATCAAATGTTAAAATGATGAATGAAAAGGTCAAGTGCTAAGATTCAGATAAAGTTCAGCTTAAACTTGAAGTATATGTCTAACTGAAGTTTACTTGAAATACCTAAAAACTGAACTTGAAAAGCTTGAAAAAGCTCAAACACCTACAATTGCAGTTTGTTCAGTGCATGAGGGAGAGGAAAAGGGGGTAGGCAGGCTTTCCCAGCTACACCACATGGATTAGATACCCCTCATCCTCCTGGTTGTTGCAGTTCTGCTCTGTTGTTGGAGGCAAGAGTGGTTGTTTTTGTTTCTGCCATCCTGTAGATCTTTCTCATTAAAAAAAAAAAAATTGTTAATGGGTAGCTCTTGAGAGTGGCACTGTGTTTTCTTTCTTATATATTCTCCATATGGAGCCAGGCAGCCAGGAGTGGATGCTGGGGAGCTCACAGAAGCTGGTCAGTGAAACCAGCATTTGATTTAACCCACTGCTAAAAAGAGCAATCCTCAGCAGGGTATGGTGGGAAAATGGAAAAGGCATTTTGGCATTTATGGTGTTCAAGGTCCTTCAGCCCTGCAGACTGTATGTGGGATGGGTTGGCCTGGAGGAGCACTGACCTCCCTGTCAGATTTGTCCTCATGATACACACTTTGCCTGCAATGCCTAGAAGAAATAAGCCACCTAATTATGGCCAAATTAGTGGTAGCTGGGGGCAGTGGATGAGAAGAGGGTTTATTGCTTTGGCATGAGGGGTTTGTGTCCCTTCCTGCTGCCTGTGCTTATTTGTAAACTCTTCAGGGCAGAAACTTTGTTTGCATTGACATTTTTACAGCATGTAACCAGTGGGGCCCTAATTCTGGATGAGGTTTTGGGAACCACAGTAAAGCAAATAATTTTTTTTTTCCCTTTCTTTCCCTGACATATATTACCATACCCAGAGAAATGAAGAGCAGTCATTTGTCCTCATCCATGAAATTTTATGTGAAATAACAGAATTTTTCTAGAAGAGACATTAATAAAACTCACTGTATTAATTCTTCAGTGCTTAAGAGAGCAGAAAGGTTTCTGTCCCATTTTGAGAAGGCTTTCTATTTTACTGACATCTGCAGATTTTTACAATGTCTGAAGCCACCGTTGCTTTGAAGAACTTGAACCTGGATTTTCATTTCATGTCCTACTTTCCAGTTTGCAAATACAAGGGATTTCACTGTGTTATCCTAAGGTGGAAAACCTAATATAATTCTAGAAACCTTGCAGTGTAATTGTCTGGATGTATATGGAGCTTGTGATAAACCTCCCACTGAAATTCAAAAGGTTTAGCTATTCGTGAGAAATACCATAAATGTTTTAAGTACAGGCAGCTGCTGCTAGAACAGAATCTGTGGGCTGCCATCAGGGTGTTGGGTGGGAGCTGAGCAAGGAAGGTGGGATTTATATTTACCTGTTCTTGTTAGTTTGGCTTTCAGGACAGTTCATGTGCAGTCCAGATCCTGATTTTATGGCAGGGCCAGTGATTCTCACTGCATTCTTCTGTATCTGGTACAGCAAGTTCTTCCTGCCCAAAAAGACAGAAATGGCTTTCTGGGGCTCAGAGCAGGCATTGGCTTGAAGGATGTGCTTTTCTAATAGTAGGAGAAAACAAAGTTTAGCTGCTTAGGTTCCTTTCCCTCCTCATTGTTACACTTGAAGTAGTCCAACTTACTGACTGTATTAGGATCCCTATGTATCTTGGCTAGGTTATGACCAGTATGATCTGTTTTTTGTTTTTGCTCTTCTTACTGGATTAAAGGTTTTTTAAAGTTTTTCAGAGGCTGCTCCCTGCTTGTCTATCGGTTGGACAAATTCACTTGTCTAGAAACCTAAATTTAGTTCTTTACTGACGCAGAGTAGTCATTCAGGCTTATCTGTCACTCAGTTTTTCTCCTATGTTTTTGCTAAATAACTACCTAACAAGATAAAGTGAAATATGTTCCAAACCTACCTGGCTCCTTGCAAACTAAGTTTGCATCCTTAGAAAAATTGGAATGACGTGTACATTATGAACCAAGTCATCACTTTAAGTGACTGATGTAAGGGTCCAGTAAAATAGGAGGGGGGAAAAAAAATCTTCCTGCAGGAAGTATTCCCACGATTTTTTGACAAGACCAGGTGTTCAGCAGTGTCACCTTATTTTGCTGCTGCTATTGTGCACTTCTCTTGCCAAAAAAAAAACCAACAAAAACTGTCATGAGTTTGAATTCACCGGGAATTAGTCTATACCAATGAGAAATTCTAAAAATCCATGTGTGAAGTGAGCTTGAAAGCTTGGGGTTTTTTTAAAGCATGATTTGATTTCTGTATGATACAATAAATGCACTTGTCTAGGGAATGTTTTTATGTTCCTGTTCAGGACACCCAGGTTCAGAACGAGAGAGAGGCTCAGGTAGGTCATGAGGGAGCTTGGCAGATTTTGTGCATTTTTTGGTGTTTCTTTTTTTCATTTTGAGCCCTCAGTAGGACTGAAACTGCCAGGGGCATGTTCTAGGGCACAAGTGAAGATTTTTTTCAGAGCTGTTCTTGGAGCTCACCTGCCCAAATGGCAGCTAGTGCTACTAATCCCCTCTTTTCCTGAGTAAGTTTTTGTAAGAGCTGAAAATACAGTGAAAACTATCAGGCATAAATATCAGGGTGTTCTTGCTGTACAAAGAAGTTCAAGGTTGAAAACAGGTATGAATTGGACTGGATTTAAAACTCTTGCAAAATACTTGTCCATCCACTGGCTGCCTCAGAGGATGGACAAGTATTTTGCAGAGGGGCTGTTTTGATGCACAAGCTTGGCAGATGCTCTGGTATTTTAAAGCAACTGGCACAAAAACATTTTGTAAAATAGAGCGTGTGAGGGAGCAAGGCTAGCTGGAATCAGCTAAGAGAACTTAGGCTGTGGTTTAATTTCTGTCTCACTAAAGGCAAACTGTGGGATTTGGAAAGGAGAAAAGTGTGAACAAGATCCTGCATTTTTGGTGTGAAAAGCAGAATGGTATTTCATATATTTTAAAAAAGAGCTTGAAGTATTTGCAGAGCATTACCAGTTCTGCAGACATGAGTAACAGCAGAAATTCCATTTTTAATTGTTTTGCATTCCTTCTTCTTAGGATCCTGGATCTCTTAACACACACATTAAATGAAAACTTAGAGCTTTTGTTTAGAGTGAATATTTTCTGCTGGAGTGGAAGAGCTAATGCAAGAGAAATTCTAGTTCAACTGATTCAAAGCTTGATATAAGAAACTTTCACCAGATTATAGAGAAATTCCAGGGACAAGCTGGAAAGAGGAAAGATTCTTGACTAAAATGAGTAATGGTAGATTTTCATTATGAAAAATACTAATCAGAATATGAGTATCTTATATTCTGGAAGTTTTTCCTTCAGAGCATTTTTGATAGTTTGTTTTCTGTGTAGTTTTGAAATGTTTTTTAACAAGTAGTCCAGTGAAAGGGGTAAAAAATGACACCAAAATTACCTTGGACAAGGTAGTAGTTGGATTTCTGGAGCAGCAGAGAGAACTGCAAATACTCATAAATTACATGATTTTTCATGGGGGAGTGGAGGAATTGGGGGAAGGATTTCAATTATGGATTGATAATTGCCATAAAAAGCAGATAGATATGAAGTGAAGATTGCTAGGAGGAAAGATGAACTGAGATGGACATCAAGGGGAAGAGAAAAAGTACTTATTGGAAAAAGGAATGTTTGTGTGCTAAAGTAACTTAAAGAGAAGTACCTACAATTCAATGAAAAATACCTTAAACTTGCTTTTTCTTTTTTGTTTCAGTGTTCTGAGGTCATGAAACTTAATCCACAGCAAGCTCCATTGTATGTGAGTACCAATTAAAACACTTTACTATTCACACAAAACACTTCCCATCAGCTTTTTTTGAGATGCTGCTTCTTTTCTCTTTGCTCCCTAAGGAGTTTATTTATATTAATTCAGTTGCAGATGCTCGGTGGTAATGCTCTCAGGTAAGTCACAGAGCTCCTCTGGTTTCCAGCAGACTGCTTTAAGTAGGTTTTGAGGCTGTCTCTGTGCAGGTATCCTCTACTTCTGTTTTTCTCTGCTTTTCCTCCCCAAAGCATGCTGGAGTGCGTGGCTGTGCTCGTGTGACTTGATGTGTTGAGAGGCGGTGAGGAGAAACTGCTAGTGTGGAAAACAGGGCATCCTAGTGTGCAGGGCTTGCCCACTGTGATAATATTTTTCTGTTTGGAGTTTTAAACGTGGCAGGGAGGACCAGGAGGCAGCGCAGGGCTGGGCTGCAGCAGGGGATGGTTTACGTCAGCCTCTCCGAGCTCGTAACCTCCATGAGCAAGGAGCGAGCTTGCCCTGGCTCTGAATAGCAGCTTTGTTGGAGAGCATGGGCACTGTCAAATTCGACCTGGATGTGTGGGGGTGTGTGAGCGTGTGTTCAGTCTGTGCCAAAGCTGCCAGCCAGCTCTGTAACTGTTTGCTTTCCTTGCCTTGCCATGCTGGGAGCAGGCTGAGCTGCTGCAGCTCATGGTCCTGCCCACAGACCTCGCCAGCCAGGGCAGAGCTGGATGAGAGGATGGAAAATTTGAAGGGAAAATTGCTTGCAAATGTGGTTTTTAAGGGGAAAGAAGGAGAAACTATCAGGACTGGTGATAGACCTGTGTCTCGGAAAGTGTTGTGTGTTGTCACTAATGGATCATATTGACCTTTAATGCCATGGAGGCTTTAAATTTTGCCTACCTTTAATTACCAACTAGAAGTTTTCATTGGAATTTATTCTCTACCCGCTGTCCTAAGTCTGTGCTTGAAGCAAGATTAAAATACTACATAGTGTGACCTGATTTTGTAGAGTGGCTTTCCAGGAGTACGCCATATCCTGAATTTTGAAACTAAATGTTGCCTGAATTTTATTAAATCTCAAGTCTACTGAATGTACCTTGACTTTGAAAAAACTTCATTTAAGCTGAAGACATATTAAGGGAGAATGGAACTTACGTGCAAATATATGATGAAATTGCTACAGTAGAAACACATGAATGGTGTAATGCAGAACAAAATTATTCTCATATCATTTGAACAGTATATGACTTTCCTGATCTGGGGGCTTTGTTTTCTCAGGCTTATCTACTGAATTAGTTTATTTTCCTGCTGTTTTGTGTGGGGTTTTATTGACTATGTAAAACTGAAGTGGCACATTTAGAAGTGCTCATCCCCATATGACAGAGAACTGGGCTGAGGTCAAATGTAGCCTGGTGTAAAATAATGATTATATAGCACTTGGTATAGTGTTTCTTTGCAATGCAAATAAGTTACATTATTAATACATCAGTGACTCCTTTTTCTCTCCTCTTCCCCTGGCCAGGTGTATACACAAATCAGCTCCCTTTCAAAAAACCAAATTTGATGGTAGCTTAAGGAAATTTGAAAGGTCAAGATTTAGTCTTTCTGTTTGCTCTCAGTATAAATGTTTTATACATTTTAAGATCGGTTTTGTTTTCCATGTGTTGCTAATTGACAGCTCATCTGGGAGTCGTTAGGTGCCAGCAGAACACAAAGAAAAGGATATCTTCCTGGTATTTCTATTTTTCTAAAGGCAGACACAGCAGTCTTGTGGCCTGGCCTTTGGGAGGCAAATAACAAACCTCACCACATTCCTTCTTCAGCGTGATGGCAACTCCATTTTTCATATACAGCCTCCTTGATCTTGTTTTCAAATTACTGAGAACAGTATTCTGTTAATTCCTCCATAAGGAATTTCATCTCTTTGAATGACTGGAAATAACAGGCAATACTGACATGTCAAAGGATTTCCCTACCTTTGTCTGCTTTCAGGAAAATATGTTTCTCCCACAGTTGACCCTTTTGTTTTTGACACCTTTGCATCTTCCTCTTTTAAGTTAATATCTTAGATTAAGGATTATGCAATTTTGTTTATTTTTTTACTAAATTTGCCATGAGTTTCATCCTGAAAGATCCATTAGATACTTGTTTTCATCAGCAGCATTACTGAGCTCCTTTTAGGAGGAGAAAGTAAAAAAATGATGTCTCCAGTTCAGTTCCTGGAAGCCAATTAGAGAGCTAAAGCATACTTCATCCTATCTGGTAATTACCAGGTTGCCCAGATTTCATAATGAAGAAAAGGGGTTTGGGAACCTGAGATGTCCAGTGTACTTGGGGCCAGAGTTTTTTGGGTGATGGAAAAGATGGTAATTCCACATCCACACCAATAGAGGGGTAGAGATTCTTGTATTACTTAAACCAGTGTGCATAAAAGGAAGGGAGACCACCTGCTGTATCCTTCTTGGTACTTTCTTTTGGCAGCTTGAACTTCTGCTTACCTCTTCAGTAAAAATCATCTGCAGAGCTTGGGACCACTGAGAGGTCACGGCCTGTAATGATGAGACTACTGGCCCTTGTAAGTGTGAAGATTAAGAAATAAGGTGGAAAACATATCCTGTAATAATGAGTGTAGTGTTTTTGTGATTCAGTGTCTCATTTTAGCCTTGCTTCATTGTTCTCTTGTTGATGAGGTTGCCAGGAACTGGAGCTCAGCATTGTTGCAGGTTTGGGCTGGGACAGCTGCTCCTCCTTTGCTCTGCAAACAGCTGGCTCCTGTCCCCCCGGAGCCAGGACCCCAGGGCCACTGTATGTGTCACCCAGAGCTGTTGTTACCTCCACTAACCAGCTGTTTCAGGAGCTCCCCTGGCCCTGGGAGCTGCTCCCAGCAGTGCAGTCATGGGGCTGAGGAGCTGGTGCCAGGAGAGATAGGGCAGGGAAGTGTTCCCCAATTTAGCTCGGGTGCGATAGAGCGATGCCGGTGCTCATGTGGGCTGGGGGACAAGCAGCTCCCCCACCCCTACCACTGTCAGCATGTTTCATTTAGAAAGAATGGTGGGATTTAGCAGAGCCTGTGGCTGGATATTGTGGGGTGAATTTGAAATAAAAATGTTCAAACCCACTTCTTTAAGATGCATTGATTTCTTCAGCTGCTAAAAAAAAAAGTGCATGTAGCCAGGCACCTTTGGTTATCTGCCTCAGACTCCAGTTGAGAACATCTTTATTGATGCACAGACACTGGATTCAATCCAAAACTAACTTTACTCCCATCCCTCTTGTATTTCAGTGCCATCCTGTTGATATGGGAATTCTTATCGGGCACAGTGTAGAGGATGCAGGGCAGTGTTTCAGACCTTTCTTGTGGTCTTTGTGCTCAGGGAGCCCAGGGTCTAAAGCTGAAGGACCAAGCTGTTCTGTTTGCTGGCAGGGCTGGGGTGGAACAGGAGGATGGGAGATGAGAAGTCACAAACTTCAGTTCTGTTTGGTTTTTTTATGTGCTTGTAGTGACCTCAGTGATTGTCATCTTTTTATAAAAGTTGTATCTCCCTATCACCAAAAGTCAAAATTTCAACTTCAGCATTGTAAGGTACTTCCTGTCTCGTGTCACTGTTGTGTTGGAATATCCAGATCATCTAGGAGTATGAAAAAAAAGGATCAACAATGCTCTGAACAATGGAAGTTTATTATTAGGTGGCCATTTATTGTTGTGATTCATTCATTCTCTGTTTATAGATAAGATTGTTTACATTAGTCACCTAGATTAAACTCCACTGTTGCTAACATCCATGGGAAAGTGCTTTGCAAATGTGAAGTGTTGATCTTTTTAGAAACATTATCATTAATTGGGAGTCCAGCAGATTATTCAGCAGGAGATTTAATTACAAAAGGATCAAGGCTCACAAGCCATGTCTTTATTTCCACCCAAACTTTAATAAATATGGAGAACATGTGAAGAATGATCAAGGTTGTGTCTTCAGCTGCATAGAGTGTCCTGAAATTCTCCCGTCAAAAATGATGTGCACACCTGATTTCAGCCTCTGCTGGCTCTGGGGTCTCTGTAGAATTATTGATCATTTTTGTAACCTAGTTGCATCTCCTACATCTCTGAAATCAATGTTGATTTGGTTTTTTTTTTTTTTTTTTAGAAAAATGACCTGAGATCAGTATTTGGGTATGAATGAAAACATGTTTTGGAAAAGCACTGGGGTGACATGCAGGGAAACGTTGGGAAACATTAATCTCATCTACTCTTGATTGCAACCAAGGTTACAACCTTAGATCTGCCTTTAAGACGGGAATATTTTTTTCATGGTGATAATGATCAGTGGGTGTGAAATGGAAAAGATTAGCAGCTGGAGAAGCATGATGTATTGCTGCAAACTTTTTTTCCTTTTCCTTTTAGATTAAAAGGAACAAACTTGTTTTAAATCACAGCACTCCTCCTCTGCATGGTTTGTCTAAGGTGTGCCCATGTTGTTTGGAGTGACAAACCCAAATGTGTCATAACTGGTGATTGCATGAGAGGGCAAACACTTAATTGATAAAAATGCTGCCATTGACTTTGGTCTTTAATCAGGTCTGTGGATGGAGTCTCTTGTCTAAACTGCCACTTAGGAGCTGTGTAACCTGCAGAGTTTCTCAAGGAGACTTTTTGATAGAGATGAGAGCTCCCACTTCCAAGGCAAAATGTCATGCAGCTTAATGAAGTATGAACTTCAAAAGCCTCAGAAAGAATGCATTGACCCTCTCTTAATATAACCTGGGGTTTGGGTACAGTAGGTCCTCTTCTGTTAATGAATGAACTACTCCTGTAAATTTCCCAGTTTATCCTGCTTTAATCTAAAACTGAAAAAAAAAGGATATGCTTGTAATATTTTCCCTCCACTTACTTACTCATATAGAATGATGCCCTACTGAAGTGTACTGTGTATTTCTGAGAAAAGCAATTGTAATATCCTCTGATGTTCATGTTTTACCCTCCCATCCCCCAGCTTCTGAGTTAATATTAAAGAATTTAA